CCCAGCTAATTTTTTGATGAGATCTTACCATGGTGCTCAGTCTGGTCTCGAACCCGCAGACTCAGACAATCCTCTCATTTTAACCTACCAAAGTGCTGGGATTACAGGCTTGAGCCACCACACCCGGCCCTTTTCTGTGTTTTTAACAGTTTGGGTTAGTTCCATATTTTGGTCCTTAAGCTCTGAGATTCTTTCTTCTGCTTGATTAATTCTGCTTTCCATGCCTGTCAGTTTGTTATTTATTTTCTTCACTGTATTCTTTATTACTGTTATCTCAGTTATCAATTCCTTCATTATTTCCTCTTGTCTCTCCTCATTTCTGTTTAGTCTCTTTATTAATATCTTGATTTCTGGGTTTGTGGTTTGAGAGCAATCAGTCTGGGTGTTCTTCATTGTTTGAGTTCCAAAGTCTGTATTCTCAGTGGCTGACCTCCCAGGGGTCTATGTGAGACCTGTATTCTTCCTTTGGTTTTTCTTCATGTGTGTAGATTTTTCTACCCCTCTCCCCCTTTTAAAATTCTTTTGTTCTGTGATGGGGGTAGCTTTTATTTCTGTTTGCTCAATCTCTTATTCTTCCTTATATAGATCCTCTGGCTATGTTCAATTCTGAAGCTGGACTGGGGGTGGGGTCTGTACTTTGTGCAGTTTTGAGGTTTAATTGAGGGGGGAGCTGTGATTCAGAAAGTATCTACAGATCTCAGTATCCGCTGACAGGTGTGTGGGTCCCCTGGAACCCACTTCCCACTGCCTAACAATCTGTGTAAGCACTAGGGGTTTATGTTTTCCCCTTGAAAGCAAAATGAGGTAAGAAAAAAGAAAAAAATGGAAAAAGGAAGGAGGAAGATAAGAGGAAGGTCGAGAGAGAGGAAGAGAGAAAAAAAAGACAGGTGTACCAACTGACAAACGAACAGAGAAACAAATACAGAAAAGATAAACAGAAACATACAGACAATCATACAGACACACAAACTGAATTACAAAAACCTCCATTGACGTACTCTCCCTCAAAAATACCCATACACAAACAGGAAATCTAAAAAAAAGCATTAAAATAGCAGAAACAGCCGGACTCGGAGGCTCAACCTGTAATCCCGTGCCTCTGGGAGGCTGAGGTGAGTGGATTGCCTGAGCCCGCGGGTTCGAGACCTGTGTGGACAGCGAGACCTCATCTCTACAATAAATCAAAAAATCAGCCGGGCTCGGTGGCTCAGCCTGTAATCCCGTGCCTTTGGGAGGCTGAGGTGAGTGGATTGCCTGAGCCCATGGGTTTGAGACCCGCCTGGACAGGCGAGACCTCATCTCTACAATAAATCAAAAATCAGCTGGGCGTGGTAGCGCATGCCTGTAATTCCGGCTACTCGGAAGGCTGAGGCGGAAGGATCGCTGGAGCCCAGCAGGTCGAGGCTGCGGTGGCCGGGAGTGGCCACTGTACTCCAGTCTGGGCGACAGAGTGAGACTCCAACTCAAAAAATATATAAATAAAAAATAAAAAAAATCAGCCGGGCGTGGTAGCGCATGCCTGTAATTCCGGCTACTTGGAAGACTGAGGCGGAAGGATCACCGGCGACCAGCAGGTCGAGGCTGCGGTGGCCGGGAGTGGCCACTGCACTCCAGTCTGGGTGACAAAGTGAGACTCCAACTCAAAAAAAAAAAATAAATAACAGAAACAAAGCAAGTATGAAAACGTAATCAAAAGCAGAAAGAAAGAAGAGAAAAAACCTAAAACAAAAAACAAGCAAAGACGAACAAACAAACAAAAACCCAAAAGTTGCTCTGCTACCATTCCTATAAATACAACTTGCTTTCAACTGGCACCACTGTGTTAAGGAGCGGCTCTGGTCCCAGCCCCTTCCCTCTGCTCTCAGCGCAGGTTGATAGGTTTGCTCACAGTGTGGGGTCAGATGCTTCATGGACTACTATGGGTGGAGGGTGTATCAGATCTGGACTCACCCGGCTTACCGCTGCTGTCAAGTCTCCCACTCAGATTTTACGTGCCTGTGCCTGTTCCAGCATGGGGGGAGGGGCGTCTCTCTCTCCGAGTTTGATGAGTGATAACCTCTAGGTCCCAGGTTGGTGGGTGGACGGTGCTGGGCAGGGCGATGCAGTCTCTGCCTGGTCCTGGGACAGAGAAAATGGCGCCAGTTGGTGTTTCTTCATCGGTGGCGGGGCTCCTTTCCAGCCTTCCACAGCCTGCTCTCTCCACAGATCCTGGGGCTCATGTCACTCTGCTGTCACAAACGATGGTGGGGATCGGGTGCCAGGTGGTGAGGATCAGCTGCTTTCCGCTGCCTTTTCTCAGGAGATCCTTGAGAACAGCCGATAATCCTGCATGCTGGGGACTCCAATCTCAGGGAAGTGGGGGTTGCAGTTACCTCCGGAGGAGAGCCCTGAGTGCATGAACCCCAGTCTCCCCTCAGGGGGACTTTCACTTAGCCATGGCACACACCCATTCATGCAGAGAGTCTTTATGGACACTTGCTTTTGTGGAGACTCTCAAAGTCGGACCTGTTCCATTGCCATCTTGACTGGAAGCCCCTTTTTCTTTTTTCTTGTGCCAGCATTCTCTCAGGATTCAGTCTCTAACCCTGATTCCCTTTGCTTTTGTTCTTTCCTCCATCCCTCTGTGTCCATTGGTCATGGAGTCTTCATCTCAACATCTCTCTCCATCCCATCCCTGAATCCTCTCCTCCTCTTGTCCACTCCTCCTTCTCAGTTTTCAGCTCAGCAGGTACCCTCTGGCATGTAGTAGAGACATGGTATGTATTTGTTTAATTAATATGTAATGAAGAAATGGAAGAATGAGATAACTGCATCATTTTATTAGTATAATATTGAGTAGCAAGGAAATGGTTAACTTGAAAGAATAATTTAGCAGTACATAAGTTGGAATTTTAATGAATGAAATAAAAATGAATATACAAAATAAATATGCTTGAGAAATGCAATCTTAACTTTTTAGGTTTGAAGTTATGCTGTTTTATTTTTTATTTTTTGGATGGAGTTCTTTATTTCCATTTTCTCTAAATATGCTTTCTTAAGTCTGTCCAGTTCCATTGCTTTTTTTTTTTTTTTTTTTTTTTTTTACTTTTATTCATTTTTATTTACTTTTAGCCCTTGCATTTTTAAAAAAAATTTTATTTATTCTATCCAAAAATTCTCTGATGTCTGTAAGTACCTTCTGGATACTGTTGTTCTGGAGGTAGCCATTGTTTGTGCTCCTCTAGCTGTTCTTTCAGGCACTGACGCTGTTGGGACTCTAAAGGTTGCCAGTGATTTTTCATTGGTTTTTCTTCATTTATAGCTGTTATCTTTCTCTTTAATTCTGTTACTCAGTGGGAAATGGAAAAGCAATCATTTCTGAGATTTGCTCTACCTTCCATCCTTCCTTGAGTTGGGGCTCTGGGTTTATTCAGTTATGAAATAGGGCTGGGGGTGGGGTGTTGTATAATCTCTTTACAATTTTGAGCACTTACTGAAAGGTGGGGGAGGGGATGCAAGAATTTAGAACATACTGACAGGTCACAATGCTTGCTATCTGATAAACGGGCCAGCTAGTGCTTGCTCTCCATCTCCACACAATATGACCTTATGATGAGTTTGCTTGTGTAGCCCCTGAGTCCAAGATAGAGTATAAGAGAGAAAAGAGAGGGAAGGAGAGAGAAAAAAGGGAAAGAAGAAGAAAGAGAAAAAAAGAGAACGAACAAAGAAAAAGGAAGAAAGAAAAGAGAAAACCAACCAACAGACAAAGCAACAAATGGGACAATTAAACAAAAAAAGAAAACAACAAAAGCCAAAACCAAAACCCAGAAAACCTACTGATAAAGATTTCTCAGCTTAAGCATATTTCTTTGGTTGTGAAGGGAGCTCCCTCTTATAGCGGGCTCTGCAGCTGTAGGTCTATTACTGCAGGTTCCCTGTTTGTTGCTGAAACTTGAGATGTTAGAATTTCACCCCCTGCTGCCTGCAATTGATTCAGCATTTCTTGGGCTCTCTCTCTCTCCATTCCTTCCTCTCCCAGCATGGTCACAGCTCCCACAGCGTGCAGCTGGTGGTGGGGGAGTGGGGCCTCTGGCTTCTGCTCTACCGTCCTGATCTCTTTCACTTGTTGCTAGGGGTGGTGGTGGTGGAGTCAGCTAGGTACTCACCTTCTCTGTCTGATCCACTGTATATATGTATCGTCCAGCGGTTGGCTCACGGCAGGGAGTGGATCATCTGGGACTTCACATCTGCTGTTACCTACCAGAGCTTGTGCACTGTGGGCAATGCTCTCTGAGTTCTTAAAGAGCAGCCTCAAAGCAATGAGGAGATCACCTCTTCAGATGCAGGTCTGCTGTTCCACGGAGGCCACCCTGGAGCATTTCTCTGCCCAGTCTTTAGAGTGGCTGCTCAGTTTCTCTATGGACTGCTGTTTCTGCCACAAACAGGGTTGGGAAAGGTAGCTCTCGTTCCAGCAAGTACCACAGTCTCTGGATCTCAGGTCCCAGTGGCAGGGCCTTGCAGTCTAGCCTGGTGCTGGAGGCAGTGGCAGTGAGTTCAGGTTTGGGGTGACCTCTCCCCGCTGCTTCTTTGGGACTCTGCTCTGGCTCCCTTTGTGGCCCTTAGTGCCAGTGTCTGGCCTGGCGCTGCTGTGGTGGGAATGGCAGTTGCTCTGGCAGCTTCTTCCCGGGAAACACTTTGTTGATTTTAGAAAATAGCATTCAGCTTCTATTCTCCAGGAAGTGCTGGGGTCTAAACAGAGTGACTGCAGCACTAACTGCTTCACCAGGAGTGCCCTGGCCACTTGTTCCCAAGTCCATACACAGTCAGCCACTCACATGCCCACTTACATGCCCACTTACACACAGATACACATGCCAATTAGTCCATACACTCACTCACTCATACAGAGACTCATGCAGTCTGACTGGCTATGCCACCATCTTCCTGGAACCCTCTCTCTGTTATTTTTTAAGTGTTATCTTTATATGCTGATATTTTTGGTTTTTTAATAACTTTCTCAGCTGCTGATCCTACAAGGACATCATCAGTCAATTACTGCTGTGGCTTTTGGAAATAAGGTGACTCCACTTCTAATCTGTTCTGCATCACAGGATTATATTATAATGTGGAACCTGGATGAATGTAGAGAGAAAGCACTTCAAGGTAAATGAAAATTTAATACATATTTTAAGAATGTATAAAGGTAATGACTCATTCTTCAATATGCTTGGTAACATAGGGAGCTTCCCTTAACCTTGAAACCAGACATCCACACTGGGCACTTCGTATAGGAAGCATACCATTCCATTCAGACTTAACACCTTTGTTGTGTGTTGAGCTGATATTATAGGCGCATTTGTTTTAATCTTATGTAGTTTCTTATTTTAAAAACTGAATTTTGTGTCAATTTGAAGACATGTAGGCAAATTGAAATATTATTTTCAGTCCAGCAAATGTTTCTTGAGCACCAATAATAATTTTAGGCTGGAGATACAGTGGTGAATAAGAAGGCCAAGCCTTGTGTAATTTTTGGCAGGGTATGAGACAGATAAAAATATGTATGCAGGTGATTAAATGGTTATAAATTGTGGGAAGTGCAGCAGAGAAAGAAAATGAGATGTTGCCAGAGAACATGGGCAGGAAGCACCTTGTATAGTGTGATCTTGGGTAGGGGGGATTCAGGCTGAAGATGAAAAGGGCCTGGATGTGGATGGGGGGCTTGTGCTTTAGGCAGAGGGACCCGAATGTACCAAGGCTGTGGGTGTGAAGAGCTGGGATGTGCCTGCATGGTTGGAGTGTGGTGATATTGACAATTTGTAGGATTATGCTAAAAAACAAATGTAAACTGACTATAAATTTGTGTGATAGTTTATGTCTCACCTTTGTCTAGTTTGTAGTATGACCATTCCCGGTATTAGTGTGTCACTGTAAACATGCACAGATGTGTACATACACGTGAACATACATGAACAAACACAAATGCGTATAGTGTCTGCATACTGGTTATGTGCTTCCCATCAAAACCTTTGTTAATAGACAGCCCTCCTTGTAATGTTACTCCCAGAGTTTGTTTTTAAGTTGCTCTTTGGAGCCTCAGGTGGATTTCTTCTTTTGTTTCTGTTTTTGTTTTTGTTCTTGAGTTGGAGTCTCGCTTTGTCACCCAGACTGGAGTGCGGTGGTCGTTCCCGGCCACCGCAGCCTCAACCTGCTGGGCTCCGGCAATCCTTCTGCCTCAGCCTTCTAGTAGCTGGAACTACAGGTACGCGCTACCACTCCCAGCTAATTTTTGATTTATTGTAGAGAGTAGGTCTCACCAAGTTGTCCAGGCGGCTCTTGAACCCGCGGACTCAGGCAATACACTCACCTAAGCTTCCCAAAGGCACGGGATTACAGACTGAGCCACCGAGCCCGGCTGTTTTTGTTTTTTTGAGTTGGGGTTTCATTCTGTTGCCCAGGCTGGAATACAGTGGCATGATCACAGCTCACTGGAGCCTCAGCCTCCTGGTCTCAGGCGATCCTTTCGCCTCAGCCTCCTGAGTAGCTGGAACTACAGGCATGTGCCACCACATACAGCTAATTTTTTGAATTTTTTTATAGAGACGAGGTTTGGCTATGTTACCTAGGCTGGTCTCAATTTCCTGGGCTCAAGCAGTCCTCCTGCCTTGGCCTCCCAAAGTGCTGGGATTATAGGTGTGAGCCACTGCGCCCGGCCTTATTTATTTTGTTAACTGGTGTCTAACTGTGTTTTTCTCCCATGTCCGAATGTAAGTTCTCCACAAAGGCAGAAGTTTCTTTCTGTTAAGTGGTGGATATGGTACAGATTTTTCAGGTCAGCCTGGGCTTCAAGAGTGTCAGCTCAGTGGGTTGGTCAACCAAGCCCCAGAGAGGGTCGTCTTGAGGGGCTGGTAAGCCTAGCCCTGGAAGGGTTGGCTCTGATGGGCTGGAAAGCCAGGCCCTGAGAGTGCTGCTGGTTTGGTGGACTGGCAAGCCTAGCCCCCAGAGTGTCTTAGCTTTGGAGTCTCGCTGTCTTCTGGCAGTTCTCCTGATTCAGCCAGCTCCATTGGCTGGCAAGGCAGCCTCTGGGGTGCACATCTGTTGGGTTCCGACGCTTTTCTGCAGCTCTTCAGGTCGCTGTTCTTCAGGTCACAACTCTTTGGTTGAGGTTCTTGTCTCATGCCCAGGAAGAATGAGGGACACAGACAGCCAGAAAGTGAGAAAGTAGGGTTTATTGATAGGACAGAAAAGCTCCCACAGTGGGAGGGGACTAGAAGGGGTTGCTGATTTGGAGCTGAAACCTGGTGCTTATATAGACTGAGCTGATTGGCTAGCACTAGCTTTGAGCTGATTGGTTGGCACTAGCTGTTCAGAATGGTCAGTACTGAGGACCAATCAGCAGGAGGTAGGGGCTAGTGGTGAGCTGATTGGTCAGTATTTGGCAGTGAGCTGATTGGTTGTTTTTCGACCCCAGCAGTGAATACTTAAGCTCTAGCTTGAAAGCCTGGCAAGGAGCTTGTTTACCAGTGCTAAGCCTGAGAGGCCTGCCAGAAGTTTGATATATTGTTATCAGAGGATGTGCCTGTCTGTCTGCCTAGCCTTTCTCTAGCTATCTCCTGTCTCAGATATACCCCTAGTTCCTAGAAGTAGGCTGGCAGAAGGTAGACTTTTTCTAACTATTCAGTGAGTGTGTCACTGCAGTGAATCTTGCCAGGGGGCCCTTATGACATGTGCACCTTGCCTTTCTGTAAGGTCTGGGTCGGGCTATAGGACGTGTCCATGAGTCTTTCTGTAGGCTCTAGTCAGTCTATTGGATGTGTCTTTCTGGCTGGAGGATATGTGTACACATGTCTTTCTGTAGGCTCTGAGATGAGTTGTAGCATGTGTATACTTGTGTCTTTTTGTAGGTTGTGCTTTTGGCTGTTGGACATAAGAACTCATATCTTTCTGCAGGCTCTGGGCAGGCTGTAGGACTTGTGAACGTGTTTTCCTATCTGCTGTGCTTCGGACCAGTATGTGTGCATGTGTGACTTTTTGTAGGCTCTTAGTTGGGCGGCATTGTGAATGTGTGTCTTCCTGTAGGTGCTGAATTGAGGTGTAGGTCTTATGTACACATGGCTTTCTCTTTGCTCTTGTTGGGCAGTAGTTAATGTGTGCTTTCTTGGAGTCCTTGGATTGGGTTGTTGGTCGTATGTGTGTCTTTCTATGGGCTCTGGGTCACACTATAGGATGTGTACACACGTGTCTTTCTGTAGGCTGTGGTTGGGCTGTTGGTTGTGAGTACATGTGTCTTTCTGTGGGCTGTGGGTTGCACTGTAGGATGTGTGCATGTGTATCTTTTTTGTGTTCTTGGTCAGGCTGATACAGCATCTTGCCTGTGACATGCTGGTCTGCCCTTCTAGGCCAACATGTTCTTTCTTGCGTGTGTGTGAGGTGCTGGGAGTGGCTTTACTGGAAGCTGCATGCCATCTGCCCACCTATCACATCTCATCCTTGTGGTTGAGGACCTACAGGCTGCTTGATGTCTGAAGTTGAGAAGAGCCTAGAGGCCTAAGCTCAGATGGGCACCTGTTCCCTTGTGTCCACTTGACATTGGCCAAAGCAGGTGGTAGGGCTAAGCCCGCACCTGGGGGTGGACTTGGGGAGGAGGTTTGGGCTGCAATTTCATGTGTATGACCCTCCCCAGGCAGGGGCTGGTACACACACTCCCTAGAGGGGGGCCTGATCTTCTTGACCAGGGGTCCTCAAACTACGGCCCGCGGGCCACATGCGGCCCGCCGAGGACATTTATCCGGCCCGCTGGGTGTTTTTGCCACCTTAACTTGTTACGACTAGCAGTGACAAATATGGAACCGAACATTGACCATCTCATTAGCCAACAGCAGGCCCATAGTTCCCACTGAAATACTGGTAAGT